TGCGTCACCCGCGCTCCCCCCTAGGGCCTTACCGAGCTTGTCTCGTCCCCGGGAGGGGGCCAGCGGCCAGGGAGGGGCCCTTATTTTGGGTGCTGCTTCCTTCAGGGCCTGTGGCACAGCGAAAGGGGACACCGTGTCCAGAAGGACAGGGTGATCCGGGAAGGGTGTTTCCAAGCCTTTTCCATAACCAGAGGGCCTGGGAAGGGCATAGGGTGTCTTCCCGGTGATGTAGGGGTGTCTGCAGACCTCCTCCAGCCCCCAGATGCAGCAGGAGCAGGGGTACAGGCCCTGTGCGCCCCGGGAGGGGCGGCAGCCCCTTTCCCTTGGCTGTGGCTGCTGCACCCGCAGGTTTGCTGTGTGCTCAGCCCGAGGGTTCATTTCCTCTCCTGCTGCTGCCAGTGGACCGAGGGGACATCGCCCTGCACAGCTCTGCGGAGATATGTGCCAGCCACAGCGAGAAGTTTCTGGTGGGTTTGCCCTGTGCCATTGGCTGGGCCCCACGCTGCGGGGACAGGAGAATGCTCTGCCCACGCGTGGGAGGAAGGCTCGTCTGGAGCAAGTGGTTTTGGGGCGGGTGGGTTTTGTTGAGCGGTTGCGATGAGCAGGGTCTGGCTGGATGCTGCTGCCTGTCCCCCTGTACAAAGGCATGTGAGGGCTGTGGGGAATGCCAGGGCCATAGGGAGAGGACAGAGGACAGGGAGAGGTGTCAAAGAGGGCTCCAGACTCCAAATGCCATCACTGCCCTTGGAACGCAGCTGGGGTGTGGGGTGCATCAAGGCCAAATGGAGTACAGAGCCCATCACTGCAGCCTAAACCTTCCTCAGCTGGAGAGGGGCAGAAGGACGGGTGGACAATTTCCCAGCAGCTGGGAGCCCAGTCGCACCCCTAGCACCCACTATAGTGAAATGGCCAGAGCAAACACAGTTGGCATCCAGCTGCCCTGGGGGACAGCAGCTGTACACTCAAGAGACTGGCAGTACTGGAGGTGCGCTGCATGTGTGCCCCCCCGGCTTGCTGCAACGCCTGCATGTGCAAGAGATGCATATATACATAGTGTGGGGGTGCCGGAACCTGTTTGCACACGCATGTGCCCAGCAGGGAAAGCAATCACACACATGGTACTCGTACACTCAGGGTGCACGTGTGCATGCTGAACCTTTGCACTAGCGTCTGCAGGGCTGCCTGCATGAAGCTGTGGCTGGGCCCCAGCCCTGGGACTGACAGTACTGGGAGGGGACAGGCACCCTGTAACGGTTTCAAGGCCCCGTGGCCTGTGTTTTGCTGTTTACCCGGCGTTTCCAGGGAGGCAACCGTCCTCTGCTCTGCCGTGACTCACAGCCGACTGGGGCCGAGTCACCCTCACTATGGCAGAGACCTAAAACAGCGCTGCTGCCAGCACAGGGAATGGCCACCTACCAGCCACCCCCGGCCTGAGGCTCTGCCAGCCCTCTTCACTGTGCCGGGGATGTCTCCGAGTGGCCGAGGAGTCATGCCCAGGATGTAAAACCCCAGGGGAGCATACTGCACCTAGCATCAAACGTCCTGCGTGTCTGGGGCTCTGCTCACACACCTCCTAGCTCTCCTAGTACCCACCAGCCTTTAACCCTCACCCAAATATCACAGCCACCCAACATCCCCAGAGGTGGAGGTTTTTGGGTTTTTTGTCCTCTCCCACCTACCCCATGGGGTTGAATCCAAGGCAGGCTATATCCCAGGACAGGGTTGGCACAGCCTCAGCCCCCATCCAGCACTGTTAAATTCAGCTGACCCATCCTCTGACCCTCACACCACCTGTTTGAAAAGGTTAAAATTTGCTGCACACCCAGCCCCCTGGGAGGGGGGTGCCCACTCACATCTCCAACATCCCATCTTGGCTCAGCCAGGGAGGTTTAAGGGGAAAGGACCCCGCAAAAGTGGGAGCTGCCACGTTTTCCCAGCGGGAGAGCAGCACCAACCCAGGCCCCAGCAGGCTTGCAGCACAGTATCCTCACCAGTCGCATCCCAGCAAGCCTTCCCTTTCCCAGCAACCCACACTCCCCCTCCCCACTAACACCTCCCCCTTCCCAGCCACAGCCACACAGCTTGGGGCACAAGGGTTTTTTTTATAAAAAGTAGAGTTTATTGCCATTTCTACCTAGATTTACACAACTGTGTCACCGCTTCTGACGTCAAAAGGGATGTTCTGTCACTTCCCAGAGAGCTGGCCAGGGAAGGTGGGGAGTGCAGGTCCATGGGCCAGCTCCCCCCAACCCAGCGGGCTGGAGCGCAGCCCGTCATGGCTCTGCCCAGCACTCAGTCCGGATCCTCCCAGTGCTGCTGCACGGCTCGGTCATGGTGGATGTCAGAGAGGGGTGAATCCGTCCCCTCTTTCGGGCCGCTCGCAGCGCTGGCCACCCAGTTTCAGCCACTCGTTGTTCCAGTCTTGCCTCGAATTCCCCAGCTGTACAGAGACAGGCACGGCTGGCCCAGAGCAGGGCACCCCACAGCCTCGTGGGCATTTACACATAGATACAGCTACAGAAGATGCCCGAACTAATAAAACAAGCTTTTTTTTTCCTTGTAATCCCCACACTGATGTGCGTACAGCCATGCACTACACAACTGCCATCACTGGTGCTGCCCAAAGTCAGGTTTGGGTTCCGGCACGCTCCTGGGTGGCTAGCGGGACAAATCTGCATCGCTCACTAAACAACGGTCTTCCTCCAACGTCAGGCTTTGCCAGAGACACCCTTCCCACACAGTGCAGCAAAGGCACGGCACTCGGCATGTGCTTCTTCCAACCGTGGATGCCCATTGAAGTGCCAAAGGCCGCCTGGCACTGCCAGGGACAGGCTGGCTACAGATTTACTCCTGGCACACGGCAGGTTGGATGGGGAGAGGTCAGCTGCCCACACTTTCCTCGCAGAAGAGCATCCTTGTGCTGGAGGCAGACGCTGGCTCTGCTGGCTGGCCGGGGTTGCCCAGGGAGGGCACGGCTCAGCGCCGGGGTCTGGCAGTCCTTCGTGTGAGATGAAGGCGGAAACGATTTTGCAGGAGATTAAGTAGAAAGAGTTCTGTGGCTCTGCCCACCCCAAGGACAGAGCCACCTTACACCGACCCAAGTGCGGGGCTGGGCCAGCCGCCCCAGGGCTCTGCTCCTCTGGGCACAGGACCTCCGTGGGGAGCCGGGACTGGAACTTCTCCAGCTGCTCAGGGCTGGCAAGGGTCTTCAGGAGGCTGTTTTCACGCTCCAGCTGGGAGTTTTTCTCCAATAGTTCTTTGATTTGCTCTTTCAGGACCTCCACCTCCTCCCGCACTGCGTACATCAGGTGATTTTTCACAAGATCCTGCAAAACGAAGGCAAAGAGACTGATCACTCTACGCCCTGGGGGTTGCACCCATCCTGCCCCATAAAGATCTGCCCCCAGTCACTGGCCAAGCACAGTAAGGCTTTTCCCAAAGGCTGTCCCTCCCCACCCCACCCTCGCACCCAGGCCAGAGCTCAGTGCTCACCCAGCATAGCCTCCCCCAGGCCAGCACCCATAGCATCTCTCAGGCCTCCCATCTCCCAGGTCTCGCTGCCTCTGGAGGCACTCTCCAGCTCCACCTCCCCCCATCCCTTGGGGGTTTGGCAGGCTGCAGTTCCGTATCACCCACGGGACCTGGACTGGTCACCCCCCGCATCCCCGGAGGGTCCTTCCCAGGACGCCCCCTCGGTGGGCTTCCTGCGCACTGCGGTGCAGCCAGAGCCAATGAGCTCAGCTATCTGCGGCGGACAGACAAAGGAGCTGGGGAGCCGAGACCCCCGCTTCGGGTAGAGCCCCCACCCGGGGAGTGGGGACCCCCCAAGCAAGAGGACCCGGGGCGGGGGGCGGTCACAAAGCGCACGGGAGAAGCAGCACTGCGGCTCACCATCGCCTGCTCGATCTTGTTGTCGATGGCCACCACGCTGGCTCCGGAGGCGCTGGAAGACAGCGGAGACACAAGGCGTTAG